TTTCCTATCCTAATGCTGAAAGGTTTTCTTAACATTCAAGCTGAACCTTCCTTGTTTGTTATTTAACCTATTTAAACAAGACAGTTTAAGATGTTTGCTCTTTTCCTTTTTCCTTTTTTTTAAAAAAAAGTTTAACGAATCCTGTTTCATCCCACATCATGTTTTCTAGTCATCTAATAATTCCCATTGTTTCTTCCCCTGGGATGAGTAAGAAAATACCCAAGTGGTCTGTATGGTTCTTTAAACATAGACCCAGAACAATAATCTGAGGCCATACCAGCTCTCTTTCATGAGCACCAAATATGACTGTGGGGATGTGACTGCACAACGCAGTTCCAGTGGATGATATCCCACACATGTCTGGTGAGAGCACCAGACATGCCACAGTGATCCTGAATCTGGCCTACACAATGCCCTGAGTCACACATCCCTCCAAGTCTCACTGAGACTTGAGGCATAGAAATTGCCAATTCTTTAGAAAGAACTAGTCAAACTAGGTGAAGGCTATTTTCAATCCACCTCTTCTTTAAACCAGTAATTACATGGGTGACACTTTCATAAATGAGATTTAAAGTGTCTCTCACTGGCACTCAGCTGTTAACACCTTGTCACTGATCAGCAAATGACTCTGCCACATTAGAAAACCATAAAGCCTGTCCTTCACAAGGAGCCTTATGGTCATATCCATAACACTACCAACTCCACCTGCACAAAAAGCCCAGTTCTCTTCATTTGACTCTGCCTTTCACTTCTGGGTTGGTGTGTAATAATCCCCAGATGTTACTGACAGCCACTGTAGGTCATTCAGTGGCCAAAACCAGTCTGTACTGCCCATTACCACAGGTGTAAATGAAAAGAAAGAACTTGTTCCCTTCTTTTCTCAGCCCTTCTAGGTGTTTCATTCAATGCCTGGAGATTTCTTCCTCACAACACTGCCAAGTATTTCCCTCTTAAGCCCTTTATTAAAATGTGCATCTTTGCACAGCTCATTAATACTACCTGTCAACACAGATGAAAATTAAGTAAGTAACCACTAGATATTTGAAACTGAATGGAAACAAGTCCAAACCCCTCTGTAAAAGCTGGAACACTCAGACACTCACAAATGAAACATTCCATATGTTAGCTTTGAAGTACTTTTTTCAGAATTCACTCCTGAAATTTGTATATGATCCACGGAATTTATGCATGATGCAAAAATGATAAAAATAAAAGAAAATCATAAAAATAAAAGAATACATCTGAAACAATTTTTCCTCCTTAAGTAATTTCACCCAGAAATTTAATTTCATATAAAAATTTTGTTTTGTTTCTTTCTTCCCCCATCCTAATTTGCAATAAAATACATTTTCAATCTCGCAGTATTTTTCAAAGGGAAGGAATTTTATATCCTGGCCATCTGGTACCAGATACTTTCCTAGACAAATCATAAGAATTAATCAATACTGCATCATTAGTAAATTTATGACACTTCCAGTCACACAACATGCTACAGCAAAACGCAAATAAACATGAATCAAAACATGTTATTACAGCTACACTGAACACACATATATTGGCCCTCCCTGTCATATTTGTTTCTACTTGTTACAATGCATCAGTTTAATTTTTATTTCAGATTTCTGAAAGAAAACACACAAGAAGAACAAAAATCCACACTGACAGTACCTCAAAATGAATGCATGCTGCTGCTTTTCTTAAGAAACAACAACAGCAACAGATACTCATAAATTCTCAATTGGAGAGACATTCGTTTCCTGCTGTGCTATTACTACAAATTTATCCTTTGCAACTACCTACTGAAGTGAACGAAAATTCATACAGAAACCTTATGTAAATAAACTTCCGAATGCAGAGAGCAACATCAAAACACCGTCAGGAACATTTGCTCATTGAACTTTACATTCATGCTACTGAACAAAAGTTATTTACAATCAAAATACAACTGAATATAAATAGCTACGAATAAATGCACCATTCATCCACAAGAGAAATATTTTCCATAACCACAGCAGATATCAAATGAAACTACAGAGCATAAGGGTACTTTGATTAGTTACTCAAATTACCTAAGTGAAGGCTTTTCTTTCTGTAAACTTCATTTTTAATCCACAGATTCTTGAGAAACAGCTGAAGAACATCAAAAGTAAGGTCGATGAAGCATAAAAATTTTCACAAAAGAGATACAAACTCTGCCCCATCAGAAAAAATACCAGAGGATAAACCATGCAAATTAATTCTGTAATCCTGATTAGAAAAATACGCAGGGCTTTTAATATAGAGCTCAGGAACACCAAAAAGATAACAATCCTCTGCTTGAAGGTCTGTTTCTGTTCTTATATTTGGAGAAAGCTGTGAACAAACAGCTGTGAAATGCCAGCAAAGATGAGAAGATTCATCACCACTCAAAATCAAAGAGAAAGCTGGGCTCATTGCAAAATTATTTAGAAAAGAAAGAAAGAAGGAAAAAAAAAGTGAAAAATAATTTTAAAAAATACTTGGATGGGGAGTGAAGAGATGCAATTTCAGTTCCTATATTTTGCACTGGTTACCTCACCCCACAGCCCAACTTCTGCTGGAGTAGGCTGCACTGCTTTTTTCCAGGAGCTGTGCACACAGTGACTCCACCACCCCTTTGTGAGATGACATACTTATTGCTTTGCAGACACAGAGTAGCTCCATAAGCCACAGAATAGCTTCAGGAACACACTGGAGGCACTGCTGTGTTATCCAGCAGGAGCACGACACATCCAAATCCTTCCATGCAGGTCCCTAGCTGAGAGGTGTAAGGAAACTATTTCCTTGCTACCCACCCTCCCATTGGGGTAAGAGGAAGAATTAGATGGAGTGATGTTGCACTCCCAGGACAGCAACTACCCAGACAAGATTCAGGTGTTTATCCAGCAGTTCAAGCAAGGAGATTTCCTTGAATTACAGTGAAAAATGGGCTAGAAGTAGATTAGCTGGCCAGCCCCAGGAGATGGGCTCAGTCAGACGCTGCACCTCAGCAGCTCTTCCCAAATGGACCAAGGGCAACTCATCAGAGAGCATCTGCTGCTGTGCAAGGGTACTCTACTGCTGTGAGCATCCCAAGCATCCTGTATGTGCCTCCTAAGTTACTTACCACTCCATTTCTGCTTTTCTATCTGTTGTACTACTTCTGCATGGAGCTCACTGATTAAGTCTTTAAAACACCCAGGGCATGACTGTTGGGTTTTTTTTTTTTTCTTTTATAATAATTTGTCTTTTCAAATCAACTCTACAGTCACTTTATTTAAAATGGTGAGGTTTTCTGGGTTATACAGAAATATTTTTAGTTAGAAGCTTTATTGTGCAAGCTGTCTAGCAGTCTGACAAAAGCTAAATTCCAGCTTATGGCTGAAAACCGTAGGAAAAATTCCAAAGCTATATAAATTATACAAATGAGACTTTAATCCCAACTGGCCTTACTAACAGGGGCTCTACATCTGGGCACACACACAAATGTACTTTTCATATGGATTTTCAGTTATTTGAATAATGAAAAAAAAAACCAAACCCAACCCCAAATCTCTGTTTTTATAAATGCTTGTGTCAGAGAAATAAAACATCTGAGCACAAATTAGCCAGACTGTCAGAGAAATACAGCTGTTTCTCAAAACTGTTCCTGCTTCTGGGTAAAATTGATGAGCTGTCCAGAGGATTCACTTCCCTAACAGCAGAAATCTTCAAAGCCATACAGTCCTGCTGCCTTCTCTAAGGCAAGCTTATTCTCATTTGCACAAGGCAGAGGATACCCTCATAGGGCCACCCAGCTGTGATAAGAAGTATGTGTGCGTGGTATCAGCAAGTTTGATCAAATAAGAAAAATGGGACGAATTAGAAGAATCAGTGTATGAACAGGAGGGATGGAAACAAAAGGAGCTGCAAAGCTACTCTGGTCATGCACATGGCTGATGCCAGTGTGCAGTGTCCCTCTGAGTTCCTTGGTGCCAGCCTCAGCTGCTGGCAGCGAATGGAGCGCAAGGATCAAAGCCCTCCTCAGCTACATCCACAAGGCTCAGCTGAGAAGAGCCCCTGCTTCACTCACAGAAGAAATCCATACAAGAATTTCTGAGTTCCCATCAAACTTAATTAATATCTGGTAGATACAGGATTTATGTTATTTGGCCCAGACGTCTCTTCCTGTTTTAACTGCAAAAGGTATCACTACCACAGCTTTTCATGTTTAAGGAAAACCCACAGAGCTAATTTTGAAGAATAAGGAAATCAAGTTCTTTCTACATTTTTCCAATATGTTGCTTAAGCCCATAGTGAAGAAAGGGATTTAATGTACAATTGCTGCATAGAGACACTCGTGTGCTTTCACCTGGTGGTGGCACAGGAGGTTCCACTGCAATAACAGGAGGTATCTTGGACATCCCTCCTGTGTGTGATGACCACAGGGAGAGATGGGGCCAACAGAAGCCTTTTCTCATTTCTGAGGCATCATTTACTCTCACCTCTCTTCAAAGAAGACAGAATTTACACCAATTCTCAAGCAGAAGTCCTCTCACAGAGAAGAGAAAATTGACAGCACTTTTTTGGGGGAGCAATCCTAACCACTAGGTACACCCACTGAGCAGGCAGGTTGTAGTCTGAACTACCAGCTGTTATTATGGCTCATGGTACAGGCTGCCAAATGGCTGCTGAACCCCAGTGGGTTGGAGACAGAGGGTCTCTGTCTGTCTATCCTCTACAGCTAAGGTAGATGCCTTAAAATAATGAAAACCTTCTCTGCACATACGTGGCACTTCTGTGAGTCACCGTGGGTAACTCATTGCTCCCCCCTTTTTCTTGTCATTCTTTTTTCTCCATTATTCTTCCTTTCCTTGAGGCAATATGAAGGTAGGATAAATTATTTGCTTGCATAACTGAAGACAAATTTGCAGAGTACTAGGGCAGGCAGGCAGAAAGCAATGCATTAAGAATGTTTCCAGTGTATGTGTTGGCTCCCTAATACACCAACTTCAAGAACTCACCAGCCCAGCAGAATCAGGGATATGAAATGTCCAGTATACATAATGTTTAAATTATATCCCACAGAGGGTGCAATTCTGCAGTTACCCTGTTAAAAAGACAGTGCAGGTGCTAAAGTAACTTCCATTACACAAATATCCATGAGAAAATAATTAAATGACCATTTTTAAAGGATGTTTTTTATGGATCTGGCACAAATATTTTCAACCAAAACAAGTTAAAAATTATTTTGGACACAGAAAAGCATTAACAGAATCCTATAGTTGAGAAACAGAACAGATTAGTCTTTAAGATGACATTAATCTATATGGAGTCAGCTGGATGCATTAAATCTGGTAACTGTGTAAAGTGAAAAGAGAAAAACAGTTATCTCTTCTAGATATGAAACAAACAAATAAATACGGACTACTCAAGGGTGTTTACCCTCCACTTTCCTTTAGTTATGAGGAACTTTAATTTTAAAAATATTCTTTCTTATTTCCTTCATAAGTTCATTTTTGAAAAAGAGTACAGACCTCATGAGTAGAAACACTAGGGAAGGAGGGAAAACACAAAAGTCATAAAAAAATGCACATGACTTTGAGTTTCAAGATGGCAAAAAAAAGTAATTCTTCTACACTAGTCCCCAAAACGAAGAGGCTGTGTTACTTTAAAGTATCAGGAATATCTATCTACTTTCAGCTTATCAAGTAAATTAATAAAAGGATCTACACAGACATTTGACTCCTGAAATGAATCATACCTTGAATAGTGACAGGTTAGTAGTGCTGCTTTAAAATATTTGAGTATTATACATCTAATCCATCAAAATACTATTCAATCTGAGATAATAACAACAAATACTCTGCAAGCTGCAACAATGGGATTACTTATATGTATACTGAAAACAAAAACACAGGTATTGAAAAGAGATTTTCCAGAAAATGTCTAGAAACAGAGTTAAAATCAAGAACTTCTTTAATAAATAGTAACCAAAGTATTTTTTCAGGTCAGAGCCAGCTACTGTGATACAACCTATGATCCAACTCCTAATTTTTTTTAGAGATTAACTCTGTAGGGGGAAAAGTGCAACAATTTTATGGTAGGTAAAGCAGCTAGTAAAACCATTTTACATATATCCTGGTTTTATGTGACATTTTATATGGTTTATTGCTATTCTTTACAATCAGGAAGCATATACAATATACCACAGTTATTTGAAACTTACTGCCTCATTGATAATAACGCCATTATTTTAAAGCAATTAAGATCTCCAAAAGGTAGCAAACTAAAATCTCAAGTAGTAAATAAAAGAAATGGCCAAATATCCTTTAAACTCACTGAAGCACCAAAAGACTTGCTTCCAGTTATTTTCAAAATCAGCGTTGAGAAAGGAATTCAGATATCTTGACTCTAAGGCTTGTGTTTTCCACTCAACTTGACTCCTCTCCAATACTGAGCCAATAAACATTTGTCTTAAAGCTCCAATTTTCATTCCCAAATTAGCTATTTTACATTAGATTATTGTGTTGAAGAGAAAAGGAAACCAACACTCTCAAGATCTTTACGCATGAAGAACTGTGAGCGAGATCAAAGGGTCGAATAAGAGAGTGTGACAATGCATGCAACCCCCTTCCAAATCCACTAGACAAGCAGCATATCTGAACTTGGAAACAGCCCTCAGCCAAGGATTTTGCAGATTGTTTAGTTAAGATATACGGCAAGAATTATTAATGGCTGAATATATGATGGCAGATGCAAATCTTGAAAAGTGATCATCTGCATTAAGCCTACTTAGCACTACTTCTGTTCCAACAGCTTCACTGCTGTTGCTCCAAAACGTATCAGAGCAATAAAACACTCCTATTTTACAGCCAAGGAACCACAAACACATACCATGTGTCCCAGCAAACTCCTGCCATACAAATCTCTTCATGCAAGCCTGTGTGCCCTGTAGCCCAAACACTGTCTTTATTCTCAGAGGATTTGGGATGACATAGAAAAAGCTCCATGCCCACAACCTACAGGCTTCTGTAAGGTTTCTCATGCTGCCTCAGTCAGAAAAGACCACCATTCCTCAAGGCAACAATTATCAACGGGGAAACAATTCTAGAAATATTTTTGGTCAGTACAATCAAACAGGCTCCATTTCCCAAGACACCACAGTAGCAGGAGTCAGGTCAGCCTAGATGAATGCTTTTAGTTATATTGCTTTTTATAAACAAGACCATCACTCCAAGTTTAGACTTACTGAAAATTACAGAATCCTAGGCTAATTGGAAGCTCCATAAAGTAAGAGATTTCAGAAGAAAAGGGGATTGTCTTCCCTCCTGGTACCACCTGTGGATCCAATGTCACCTCTCAATCCACCTGTAGCATGTTGCTTTGAGGAAAAGCTTTCATAATAGTCTTTGATCCTGTTGGAAAATAATACTGGCAGAAATTTCTGTGTATCATTGATATCCAAATGTGTCTGTCACTGTGCCAGTAAAAATATACTTAGAAAATTAACATCAAGACACTGCTTTAACCTTTGTATGACCATGTGAATTCAGAACAAATCAGCCACCGTAAGTCATTGGTAAATACATGGGGGTACGAGACTATCAAATCACCACAAAAAACAAAGTCATGGTACTGACACTGTCATTTCAGACCATTCACTACAGAAAAGAATTGGAATATTGAGCTCCACTCTAAACAGTCTTTTCCAGACATCCACATGTGAGCTGTGAGGCACAGGGAGGGAGCACACGGACACACAGCACAACACACATGCATATGCTGTGCAGCACCACAGCTCTGCAGCTACTCTGCAGCTACAGAAGGCACATTCAAGACTTGCCAAGCCAAACTGCTGCAGCCATTATCACATCACTTCAGCTGAGTTATGTTCAAGTTTCCCATCACTCAGGGCCTGCACTTAGTGGTTATTTAGCACAACTACGAAACTTATTGGTAGAGGACCCAAGTTCTTCACGGAGGATTTCTGTTAACCAAACCTATGATAACCAAGGAGCAATATGTGTCTGCCTTTGAAATTGAGTCACTTCAGTAGGAGGACAGGGAGCATGAAGAGAATGTGGAAAGATTTTTCCAACATTAAGTCTTTAAACACATCATCAACCAATTTGTACAAATGCCAGCCACTGTTTTTGGCAGACTACATGGTGTCTTGTTGTATTCTAGAGCAAATTTGTTGACTCTAATTAGCAATTTGGGAATAGAGTAACAAGAAAAGAGAAATAAAAAATTACAGCGCACAGTGCCAGTTACTATAGTGAGACACACACTCTTTCATTATTATAATGTAGTTGTACATAGGTTGCATCCAGCTGTTTCTTTAAACCAGACGTAAGTAGCTCCATAGGACAGAACAGCATTGTTTACATTGGAAAAGACCTCTAAGAATAATTGAGTCAAACTGTTAACCTAACACTGCCAAGTCCATCACTAAACCATATCCTTAAATATCCCATCTTACATACCTTCAGGGATGGTGATCCACCTGCCTCCCTGGGCAACCTTCTTTCAGGGAGTGAAAGAGAGTGATAGCACTAGATATCACTTTATCACTAGAGAGTGATAAAGATTCCCCTCAGCCTCCTTTCTGCCAGGGTAACCAACCCCAGCTCCCTCAGGCTCTCTTCATAGGACTTATGATCCAGATCCTTCCCCACCTCTGTTGCCCTTCTTTGGACACATTCCAACACCTCAAAGACTTAAGACTGTGGTGATTAAATAAGGAAAAGACAAGAGGCACATCTGTCTATTTCTTTTTCTCTGTTGGACCCAAGCTTCTTTCAGGGATATTTAGACACAAAGTTCCAGCAGATGGAATATTTTCTGGAGTTTGCTATATACTGTCCATAATCTTTTCCTCCACAAACAGGTCTTTTGAGGCCTTATGCCAAATTTCTCCTATTTGAGAGAAAGTAAGTTTTTTCACAGTCAGAAAACTAACAGTTCATCACCTCTCTTCATCCATATAGCTGGACATAGGGTCTCATGCTGCCTGCAAATGAGCCTTTTTGGCTGAAGGGGAAGAAGCAGTCAATCTCACATAATATGCTCAGCTGGCCATTGCTTCCATGAATGAACTTTCAGCTGGCAGCTATGACTCTCCTGAAGCTTCCCCAAAGCCCTGCCTGCCTGAGCTCAGGCAGCATTTGACTGAACAGGAGCAGCAGCCAGCTCCATGATCTCTCATGATTCCATGGAGGCTCTTGTTTCTCTCGGAGTCTCAGGGCCAAGACCTGGGTACCACTTCTCTTTGTGAGCTATGGCTAGAGAGCCATTGAAGAAAAGCAGGCTCCTTCCCCCTTTATGTATCACAGGTAGCAGATGCCTCATACAGGAGAATGCAAAAGCAAGTCTTGGTCTTCGCCTTCCTTCAGGTGTTTTTTGAAGAGCATTTTGCAACCTCTGTTCCCTTTACATATGAAGAGGCACAGTATGGCAATCACAGAAGTATAAATAAATGCACCTAAAAAAGGTGGATGAAGCACTTTGGTATGAATGTCCACCCCAAAAGAATCTCTGACCAACTTAATCACAATCAATACTGACATTTAGACCTTCCCCAACATCCTGCAACATTTCCTCTTCACTGTCTTCATTGTCTAATGCCAAAATACTCTGACAGATGCAAAATATAAAAGGAACAACCTTCCCTGCTTCCACCACTGCCTTTTCTCTACTCTCAAAAATCATGTTTTTTGTTTTTGGTAAAGACAGCTGCTATCACAGCTTTTGTTGCTGTCTGAGTGCAGAGAACTTGAAGTGGCACAGGTGGCTGTAAGACACCCATCAGTGATGAAGCAATTTTTCATAATTTCCTTCTCAATAAAAGCAAATATATCTTAAACAGCTGCCTTTTACAGAAACGGAGAGCGAGCCAAAAACTTGCAATGGCTTTGGTAAGAATTGCCATTAAAAAGTCACAGACAGAGGCTGGAGTGCTTACACGGTACTGATGAGCACATTAAAAAACACAAAGAACACACAAGTAATAAGAAGTTCATTCATACTTTTTATAGGAGTATTTCAAATTGGTATTTTGAAAATATTTTGTCTTCCTAGTGAAAGATTATGTTTGATCTTGAAAATAACTCAGGACAGTTAGTTTCAGTTATTCAGTTAGCCCTGAATATTGTCTGCTAAGATATTCCTATCTCTTTCAGGAAGAGAGTTTCCAAGGGACATACTTTACAGAATCATGGAATTGCTGAGGTTGGAAAAGACCTCTAAGATAATTGAGTCCAACCATTACATCAAAACATTAAAATTTGCATGATCACAGTAGAATTAGATACAGAACACTCACAACCCTTGAGCAATTAGAAAGGCTATATGACTACTGTGTGCAGAGCTTTTCTCTCTTCTCCTACACTTTCTCTTCATCCTCTCCTCATAACTCTGATAGCACAGCAGCCTCACTGGCAAGCACGAGCACTTCAGCCAGGGGCAGGCTAGCACATCCACTGATAGCTGCATCCCTTGGGCAAGCCCACAGATTTTTGGCATGTCTGGCAGGTTGTCCAGCAGGTGACTGGCAGTGGCTGGTGTACAGCAAATAGGCAGTGATCAGATGGTCTGTCTGAACAGGTAGTCTGCCTGTTTTGGCTGTCAAACCTACGGTCCAGTCCAACATGTGCAACAGCCCTTGCTGAGGCTGCCAGCCATACAGTCTACCAACACAGCTGGAGCTGTGGTCTTGAGCTGGGTAGAAGAGAGGGGGCACAAAGCAGTACTGGAGTATCAACACAAGTAAGAGTAATAGATGCAACCCCAACAAGCATGTGCTCATTGGGCACCCTATT